TTGTTAATGAATCATTCATTCAAGAGATTTCTTCAAAAACACTGATTCATCCTGTAATGAAACAAGTATTTGTGAGTGAATCATTGAATCATACATTCAAATCGATTTAAAAATAAAATCAAAATCATTCAAACGAATTAAATATTTATACTGGAGCAACATTTTGTCAGAGCCGTTTACTTACTTTCTAAATGACTTATTTTGATTAATTGTCTGTTCAGAATCGTAGGGAAATCGTGATCTCTATTTGAAACCAAAGAAATCGTGATTCTAAATGTATCCAGAATCGTTCAGCTCTACTGGATCCCATTGACTTTGATTCATTCAAAATCTTCTTTTGTGTTCTACAGAAGAATTTTCACACAGAGTTTTCAGTTTCGGATGAACTATCCCTTTATTTCTTCAGAATTCACAATTACCTGCTGTATATTGTAAGAAAAATGTGGGAAAACAGAAAACAACCTGCAGAAGCACCTGCAACTCCAACTAATAAATAATTTTAAAAGCAAAATAATTATTCAGAAAGCTTAAAATGTAAATGTGAAACAGTGGCTCAGTTCTGCAGCTCCTCTTACAGAGCACATAAAGCCACCAATCACTTTCCACACAGTGCACACAGACCGCAAAGGATGATGGGACAGAACCTGACTAGTGACTGACACTAAAACTTATCAAGTTTTGCCGACACAACTATGGCTGCCTGAGGAAAACATCAAATAATGAAAGAATGCTCCACTAATCTGAAGTAGTTAACAACGGTGTGACAGAATGGGCACGTAGACTTTGAAATGGCTTTTTTTTTTTTTTTTTAAGTGACGACGAGTCCAAAAATAACTGTGATTTTGAATGCATCTCTAATTTGGGACCGTCTCAGATGTGCTTGAGTTATCTGTCCCTTTCAATGATCTTCCTCAAACAAATGCACACACACACATTCAAAGCTCTGCTTGGCTGAGCTGCCTCTGTCTGTGTCAGTGCCATCCTGTCTCACCGCCTCCTTCCTGTCTCTCTCTTGCTTTCATGTCTATCCCCCTCTTCTTCTGACAAACACTGATAACTGTGATCGCAATCACCTAAATATTCATCTCAAAGAACCTGGTGCACCGAATTCAGTATAAGATTTCTGAAAAAGTTTTCACTATGATTCTTTCAACGATCCTCATCATGGCTATTTTTATTAGTGGCGTACTTGAGGTAGAACACTTGATCCCATGGTTGCTGGGGAGTTTTTTCTGGTGGCTTGGGTGTTGTGAGCTATTGGCCCACATGCAGGTTCAAATCTAGCCTGGGTTGTCATCATCCCATTTTCTTTCACTCTTTCACTTTTCTCAGGGAAATTTTTCGATTTACGTATTTTCCGACCTGAATTATGATGACCCATGTAAATTTTGTAAATCCGAGGGGAAAAATACTGCATTTTTAATAACGGTAAATTTTCCCGCATCATTCATTTCAGCCAGCGTCCAAAATGAAACTAAACTGTGTTACTCGTCAACTGGCCGATAACTGCGGCTACATGTTTCAGAGTGAAGCGCGGGAACTCACGATCTGGTGTTTTTTTTAGTGTGGCTTGGTTCGCAATAAATGCTGCTTCACGCGAACGTCATCTCTCAAAGCGCTGTAAGATTTGGTCACTTTTAATGTGCATTTAAAACACAAAATGCTCTAATCATCTTCCCAAATTTGTAATAATAAAATCTGCTGTCAACAAAAGAGAGGCTGGTCTCCCAGTAATTTTCCACCTAAATAAATGCTCCACAGCCATTAATATTACTGTTGTAATTTTACTGTAAAAATATATATATTATTATTAAATGCTATTTTTATTTAATAATAAATAAATAATAATAAAATAAAAATATTGTTTTGAATAATGATGATGATTTTTTTTTTTATTGTTACTGTATAGTCAAATTAAATGGAGGGAAAAAAATAAATGCAAATAAAAAGCCCATAATCCATTCTTTCTCAACTCACCGACTGAAACTAGACAAACATTCACTGATTCAGACTGTAAATCTCCTCTTACATGGATCTGCAATCATGAACTAACCCATCAGACAATACAGATCTTTCTCACTCTCACTGCTTCCTCCTGAGTCCTGCTCTTTTCTGCTATTGCAACACTAAACTCCAGCTGGGCTTAAAACCTGGCGTCTCACACTGACATGAATCACCTGACTGCTCTTGTTTCAATAGGTGACCTAATACAGGTCTGTATGGAGAATACAAATTTAATCAAGATTATTGCTAATTCAACTCATGAACATGCATGCGGAACCAATGTGCAGATCTGTAAATGTTGTCAGTCGCTCATGCATGGTTAATGTTTTTGGTGGGTGAGTGACTCCTGTGTGAGTTACCTTCAGGCTCTTCTGCATTATACAAACTCATTGGACAAATAAATGAGACCCTAACTGATGTAGATATTCATTTATCTCTACAACTCTCTCTCACTGTGTGGCTTGCACACAGAGGGAGTGAACGGGAGATGCAATTTTCAAAGTGTACCGACCATTAAAACAACATTTTATGTCATCAATCCTGTTTATGTAAGATCAATAATCAATACCCAAGACCTTATTTTTCAAATCGTTTTTACACTGGACATTTTTTTCATGTGGTAACTATTTCACTGTTTTGTGTTTTGTACATATAAAATGACAACATTTTGGCGAACATATACTTTAAAAATTTCAGGCAAAAATCTGCGCTAAGTTCTCAGTTTGGTTTGATGTTTCCAGGTTGAAACGCGTGACTCATTCAAGCGGCGGTTTATTGGTCCGTGTGAACGTGAGGATTATGAAGCTTACTCATACTCCTTCTCATAAACTCAACACAGTCTCATCATTTCAAATCTTATCCGAATAAAACACCATAGACCCGATTATTGGGCGGAGACGTTTTACACAGTGTTATTTCAATATGCGGTGTCTGAGCGCTCTTTTTTCCCCCTCACGGGAGGCGAGCGCGAGCGCACGGTCACTCGGTTCATTGTCTGCCGCATCGCCGTGAAACGTAAAAAAAGATTATTCTACAAACAAAATATTCATGAACACAGATGCAGATAAATAGTATTCGAGTCAAAAATACAGTTGTACATTATAATACAGTACATTAGAAGCCAATTTGAGAGATATACAGGGTAAAAGCATCAGTTGTCCATCCACACCCCACGCGCAATGCGCATGTGCCATGCAGAGACAAAGGATCAGGCAATTACGGGTATAGCTTAAAATGATAGATAAACTAAAAAAATATATTATCATACAAGGTGCGTTGATACAGTAAAAAAAAAATACTTATTCATATTCACTTTACATTAGTGCGTGACAGAGTAAAGAAATAGTCAATTTGGCACTGTGTAGCATCATAAAGTGTAAAGAAAATTTGTATAAACAGTATTAATTAAGTGTAAGGATTTGTCGTGTGTATATTATTTATAAGCTTCAGTTCCGTAATATCTGTGTATGTATGTGTGTGGGTGGGTGGATGGATGAGTGCGCGCACGCGTGTGCACCAGTTAGACAGCGCTGCAAAATGTGTGCCAGCTCTGACAAAAGAGGCGGTGAGCATAAATCCGCGTCTGTGTAAACATAAAAACGCAGGATTTTTAATGTAATCATAACAAAAACCATTATCCCATATAAAATGATGACTTCTCTGAAAACCCCGTAATTTATCAATTTGCGCTTCAGAAAACACGCTTTACTCATTACGCTTTATCCTAATATTCCTTAAGTCATATCGAATCAATTTTCCTTCAGTATTTGTATTAAAATAATAACAATAACCAGTGGAAGAACGACGGCATGCACGCGCAGAGACAGTGCTTGTCTGTTCAGAACACGCCCCTCTCCACTCAGTTCAGTCGCGTGAATTCCAAGGCTGATTTATTGAAATGTTTATGTGCATCTCAGAAATCAAATAAGCTCAGATACATTATTCCTCCATTCGCCGGCTGAATGACGTGCTGAAATTTGCGCTTGATTTAGATATTTCCCCGGTTCACTACCGTGCGCTCCGGCACTCCAAAAGGGAACCGCTCTTATTTATCAGAGACGCTCCAACTAGACAAATGCTTAATGTAACTGAGGCAGTGTTCATTTAATCTATTAAAAGAGTGAAAGAATCTTACCGTCGGCGGTGGACTTTCTTGTCACTCCTTTCTCGAGCGTCTGCTGGGTTTTTTTTTCCAATGTCTTTTTTCCCGTGCGCGTGGATTCGGCGGGGTTTATCTGGGCTGTTCGGTGTGTGTCTCGCGCTGCATTTCTCGCGCGCACTCTCGTATTCGGTTGGGGGGGCGGGGGCGCGCGACGTGCTGCGAGCCACTGAGAACGAGACACGGAAGTGCGCCTCACAGTGATCAAGTCCCGTTTGAAAAAGAGTTGTTTAATGACTTTATCATTTGAAAAGTGAATAAGCTACAAACACAAGTTGTTGGTCTTCTGTTTTAATTTGTGGTTTAGTAAGATATTTAAAGCAGTGGATTATTTTGTCTGGTAGATATAATGCTGGTCAATGTGATTAATTCAAAATATTCTTAACTTGTACCAGCTATTACCCAGCGCACAGGAGAATAAAATGCTCAATAAATCTCTTTTTTTTGTTGTCTTGGCGCGCCCTCTGGCGTCATCAGTTGATGCTGCAGAGAAAATATTTGAAATGTGAGTTCTATTTTCTTTAAACTCAAAAGTAAATAAAAAAGATATATATATGTATGTATAAAACATTTCATAGCAAATATAAATAAAAAAGGTAAAATGTAAAAGTAGAAAATTATGCATGTTTACCATATATATATCACAATTTGCATTTTAAAGAAATAACAATGAAAACTAAATATACACCCATTTAAAAAAATAGATTGTTACCATTAGGGTAATGCATATACATAGACATTTTTTTTATCATTTCACATGTTCTTACATCAATTAGGTAATCTATATTGTTACAATATGCAGGTTCGGATTCTCCATAAACACAGGATAGAGGCTCAGTGAGTTAATATAGTGTTGACACCTTTATTTTTTATCAGGATAATTAAAGGTCAATTGTTTATGCAAGGGATTTTCTGGAACAGAGAGAATAAGCTCATGAAAACTGCAGATGGATGTACATACACTCTTTGAAGATACAGAGCTGTCAACGCTACAAAATGGGGGGGGGGGGGGGGGGGGGGGAGATCACATTGAATTGCTTAGTTCTGTGAGGTGAAGAAAACAGATTTTATTTATTTTTAAAAAACAATGTTGTAAAAATACAGCAGCCGCACACTCAAACACTGCAAGATCAATAGTGTGCGGCTGCTGTATTTTTACAATTTTCCATGATGATTTAATGTAGCAGCACCTCTCTACAAGACTTTTTTGACGGATGAGCGGTGGTTCTTTTCTATTTTTTCTATCTTGAAAAGACAATGTTGGACATAACAAATAAGCATCATTGCAATTCATGAATAAAATCACTTAATGCTAATGATTATAATTGTGTTGTTGTTTTGAGTAATCATCACAAAAAAAATTCTCACATTATTGTATATGTACTATCTATATTGTTAGATCACAGAATGTCACTTTCGAACAAATCAACAATTTTTGTAAAAATTCCAATAACCCGAAACCCAGGATAGAGAGGCCGAGTGAATGTGGTGTGGACTCTGTGAATGAGGGTCATTGTGTCAGAGACGCTGTAGAAGGACAGAGTTCCTGCACTGTGATCCACATACACTCCTATTCTAGAGGAGCAGGAGACTAAAGGGAGTTCAGTCTTTTTGTTGTTATGCCAGAATGAGCAACTGGAGTCATAGCATGACAAACTCCAGGACTGATCATTACATCCAAATCTACACTCATCTCCCTGTCCCTTCCTGCTGATGCTCTGATATGACACTGATATTTCCAGCCCTCTACTCCACTCAACCTCCCAGTAACAGCGTCCACACACACTCTCTCGACACAACACCTGAGGATGACCATCAAATCTGTCTGGATGATCAGGATACCGCTGTTCTCTGAGAGTGTATTTAATCACTCTGTTCCATTCAGACAGTACCAGGCTTTTATTCACTGTGTTTGAATCCAAAGAGAGCGGAAGGGAATCTGTTTAAGGTAAAAAATGATGAAAATAAAACACCAGACCTTTATTACATTTAGGATTTTATATATATGAAAAATGTCAGTGATGTTTGATACTTTAGGGAAAAAGCTACACAACATCAGCCTCATTGTTATCAACATCATAACATCGTTGTGTTGGTGTGTCTGTGTGTGTTTGGAGTTGACCTGAAGAAATTATAAATGGTTAAAAATGTAGAATCGAAAAGTCAATTCAAATTTCTGTTTAGTTTTTAGTCCTGTTCAAATGTTTTAAAGACAGCAGCTCTATCACAAACTGTACAGTTTACAGCTAAAGGTCCATTTGAATGTTTCTCTGTCAAAACAAAAACTAGCAGTGTCCAGACCAGGACGTTTAACTAACCCAGTAACATAAACTACCCTTGCGAAAAAGAAGTTTATTTAATTAATGTGCAATTAGTATACTTTTTTTAAAACTAAAATTAAGAAAGCATACTTTCAGTCTACCTTTTATATACTTCTCAGAAATATACTTTATGTACTTCTCAGAAATATATTTACAATTGCACTCAAGTATTCTTGACTTATACTGACAGAAAGGTCTAAGTATATTTGGCCTACTGTACATATCTTTTGATCGAGATATACTTAAAAGTATAATTAAGTATTCTAAGTATACTTGGCTTGTAGTTGTGTTTAATCTTTTGATTAAATAGCCTATTAAATACATTTTACACATAGTTTTATATACTGTCTTATAAACTTACATTGTTTGAAAATATTGATTTATAAAGAAAACAGATAATCCCATCCAGACAAAGTCTTTGACAAAAATGCAATTTTCCCAGCTTTTTGTTTAAAGTGTTGATTTTCTTTAATATACTTACCCACATTCAACCCAATTCAAAAGTATGCATGAAGATATAATAAAATCTTTTTAAACTTAAAGTGCAGTTAAAGGTATATTTCAAGTATAAAAAGTCAATACCTAAATAAGAACATAGTAGTATACTTAAAGTGCAAAAATAATATAAATAGTAAACTATAAGTATGATGTTATGTTCACTTAAAGAAAACTTACAAGTATACTTGCAGTATAAAACTACTAAACTAGTTGTTTACTGAGAGTACAATTCAATGTGTACTTTCATAAACTAAAAAAAGTATAAAAAGTAACTACTAGTATAAAAATAATAAACTACTAGTATACTTATAAGTTCACTTGTAGTACAGATGCAGTACAAATGAGAAACGTAGTTGTGAAATAGTTGTGCACTTAAAGTTTACTACTGTTACACTTATAGTACACTTAAATGTATAATGTGTCAATGTGTCTCATGTAAATCAAGAGCGTTATATGCAGTTCTGCACAGTTCAGTCTTATTGTCGATATATAATAAGAAGAAATAAAGTTTGTCTTTTTATGTACATGTATGATCATAGAGACTTACATTGGAGAAACTCCTCATGGTTCTTGGGTTCAGGGGTGGGAATGATGTTAATGTTTCTCACTAGGAAACCAACAGACATTTTATTGTAAATACTGTAAAATAATATAAAATAACTTTAATTATTGAATATTTTAAACATGCATTGTTTTTTACATGACATCATGTGATACATGTCAGTAAATGTAAGGCTTGCCTCTGCCAGATATCTTTTCTGTTTCCTCTCTGCAGAAATGCTCAAGTTTCTCTCTCAGTTGAGAAACAGATTTACCAACATCCTCAAAAGAGAGACGAGAACTGACAGTGATGCTGAGTGAGTCTGTAGATCCAGGAGGGACTGAGAGAGACTGGAAACTCTACACAGACACAAAGACACAGTAGAAACACCAGCTAAAGACATAGAAAGATCTATTTCAAAATCAATTTGTTTGTCAGATTTCTGTTACCTGGAGGAAATGGATGTGATGGTCTGTGTGTGAAAGCTGCTCCATCTCAGCGTCTCTCCTCCTCAGATCCTCGAACTCCTGCTCCAGTCGCTCCAGTCGTTCTTCAGCTCGACTCACTGCAGTCTTTTCCTGGTCTCTGATCAGCTGTGTCACCTCAGAGCGGCTTCTTTCAATGGAGCGGATCAGCTCAGTAAAGATGCTCTCACTCTCCTCCACTGCTGCCTGTGCAGAGCGCTGTTAGGACACACACAGAGACCCATTAGAAGCAGTCCATTCACTCAGCTCTTACTGGTCCCTCACACAGCCTGTTCCCCACAGTGGGCTTCAGTGGGACTGAAAGAGCTCCAGCACTGACTCCTCACAGACTGACTGGAGGAGAGTCCTAACTGAGTGTGAAACAGCTCTTCCAGCAGTTCTTCTGCTCTAAACTCACCTTGTGAGACTCTACAGCCTCTCTCAGCTCCTCAAGCTCCTTTAGTTTCTCCTCGATTCTCTGCTGGAATTTTCTCTGGGTTTCCTCCAACTGTCTCTAAAAGATTTAGTATACACAGTCAATATACAACTCGTACATGCGCCTCTTAGAGAATGTCACAAAGAACTGTTTCAAACATGAGCAAAGAGTAGAAATTATATTATCTCTTTCGTTTAAGAACTGTTTGAAAATGATCTTCGAATATATGTTATATAATTATGAAGAAACATTTATTATTCAACATAACGACTCATAGTTCATACCTGTTTCTCAGTCCTCTCTGCTGCAGCTGATACAGTGTCGTGGTGTTTGTGTTCATCCAACATACACAGATAACATATACAGTTCTGATCAGTACGACAGTAAATCTCCAGTAGTTTCTCATGTTGAGGGCAGATCATCTCCTGAAGTCGTCCAGTGGCGTCCATCACTTTATGCCGCTTTCCTGGGTGAAATTCCTCGTGACGTTCAAAATGAATTTGACAGTAGGAGTTCAGACACACCAGACAGGACTTGATGGCTTTGTTTTTATCCCCAGTACAGACGTCACACTCCACATCTCCAGATTCAGTGTAACATTGAGCAGGACGAGCTTGTAGTTTTGTCTTCTGGAGTTTCTCCACCACTTCAGCCAGCATGGTGTTTTTACCTAAAACAGGTCTTGTAGTGAAGGTCTGTCTGCACTGAGGGCAGCTGTAGACTCCCTTCTGATCATCCTGATCCCAGCAGCCTGTGATACAGTTCATACAGTAACTGTGTCCACAGGGAATGGTCACTGGATCCTTCAGTAGATCCAGACATATTGAACAGCTGAACTGATCCTGAGCCAAAGAAATATTGGATTCTGCCATTTTATTTCACACACTCACAGACAGAGAGACATCCACAACAACAGCTTAGTTTCGATTTCTATGAACTGAAACATTTCCTGGTTTTAAAACGTGTGCAAATGTGCCAATCATACAATATACACGACCGCTAGATGGCAGTCTTACACATAAACTTGCCAGACAGTTTATGAGACTAGAAACATGTATATTAAAATCTGTTGTTTATGCTGATTGTAACAGTCATTCTGTTCTTTTCACACAGGATTGATCTTCGCGTATTTATAGGCAAGACAAGTTTGCTTAGGCATGGTTTGTAGGGAAATTACAAACCTGCGCACACATATTCAAACGAATATAACTATAGAATCAATTTTTAATGCGCATGTGAACGCCATCCGGTCACAGGTTCGCGTTTAAAGTCTGTTTAGAACGCCGTCGTCTTAGTGGCCCCTAATGTAATAAATTATAATTTTGCTGGAAGTGAATCAATCAAAACCAACTTTAGCCGGAAATAACATCATTCAAAATCGCTATAAAGCCAAAACAATATCTGTTACCGTAAATTGTATGTTTATCTCTGTAAAGCTGCTTTGAAATAATCTCCATTGTTAAAAGCGCTAACGTTATATAAATGAAGATGACTTGACTTGACTTGATCACGGCCGCATTAACAATAGGGCTAGGCGGGGCTAAAGCCCCGGGGCCCGAACAAGGAGGGGGCCCTTGATTGGCTGTGGAGCAGATACTAGCCATCTGATTGCCAAATCCTTACCACGCAACGCCCCCCACAAATTAGCCCTGTTATTTAGTAGCGCTTTGCCGAGTATTCCATGCATTATCATGGAATCATTATCATTAATATTATAGTGACCGTTCGCAAAGACCCGCCTTTTTTAGTTACTGTGTGACAAGCCAGGCGGCTCTCACGAGTCACGCACATCATGTTCTAACGCAGTGAAAAAATACATCGCGGGGCAAAGACTAACGCGTAACGTTACACAATTGACTACGAGAGAGTGTTCAGAGCAGCTTACTGTTGATATGAAACAAAGTCTCAGCTTTCAAATATTGTAATTTAAATAATTTAAACAATACCGTTTTCAAGTTCAAGTCCACCGACGTTAATCTACTGACAGCTTTGTTGTCGGACAAAATTGCGTATTCGGCGTTTTGATTGGCCATGTCGCCTGTCAATCAAACCCCCGTGGTCAGCAGGACAGGGCATGGTGAAATGAAACGTCACGTTTTAATTTAACATAATACATTTATTCTATATTTAACTTGTGAACGATCGACCTGCTGCTGCACATAGGCCTATAGATGGCTGCCTGGAGTGCCTGCGCCTTATTAGAATATAGCTACGCATGCATCAACCAATAAATCGCCTCCACCCTTCACTTCATCTAGAGTCTAGACTATTTTTTAAAACACAGCGTCATCGTCGACCCCACAAATTTTCGGTAAGTTTGATTATTAACTTGATGGATGTTTGATATTGCTTTTTGTGTTTGATCAAACTCTATATTCACCTAAAGGGCTGGCGATAATATATCCGGTAGAAATATGTAAATTTTGCTGAGACATCATGATGTAAGTTTATAAATTAAACGCGTTTTTAATCATTGTGGTTTGACTTTGGATACAAATTATTTTAAATGATGGTGAACTTGAGACGGTTTTGCACAGCGCACTTGAGTTCCGACCCTGAGGTCTTAAAGTGACAGTAGCTGCTAATAAAGCATTTGTCGCCATTTGTGTCCATAATCAAACATCAGAAAGAAAGTAATTTACTGCCCTTGAATGAATCACTTTTGTAAAAATTATTAAGAATGAATGTTGAATTTATAGTGAAAACTATGTATTGTATATTTGATTACTTTATACAATATAATATTATTCAGTGCTTTAAGTTTTTCAAGGTCGATTTACTATGTGCCTTTGTTCTATTGTTATTTGTGACTCTTGTCATCGGTAAGCTTGAGATTCTTTTCTTAAGTTACTATTATTTTTTGTGATATTAAAATTGGTCACAAGAATTATGAAATGTTAGTGCCATTAAATTTTGATTTGATAAAAAATCGTTTTAAAAGTAATATAACTGAACTGTGAAGTATATCATAGATGGATAAAATGACTCGTATAATGATAGAACATTTAGCTCATGTAGTTGGTGACCTGTAGTGGTGGGGGGCCCTGCAGTAACTCATAGCCCCGGGGCCCAGTGAGCTCTTAATGCGGCCCTGGACTTGATTATCAAGTATCTGAACCCGTTTACATTCTTCTTTGTGAATGAGAGACCCTTGTAAGTTACATTTGCATTGGTGTTGCTATATTCTACTGTTTGAGCTACAGGAAAGCTTTTGCTTACTGTTTTTGGTAAAAACAAATCTTTGCTGAGGGTTTAATGATCTGTAGGTTTTAGGGGTATGTAGAGTGTAGGGCAAAAGGAAGTGAAGGGAAATGCTCGATTTTTTTGTGCTGGCGGCAGTTTAAAAAAACACTGTCAGCAAATAAAACCTGACCAGACACAGTCTTCAGTCCATTGCAACACACACATGCTTCAGAGAACGATTACAAGAGCACATGTCCTGGACTTCATCAGCAGGATCAATGTTCAAATAGTTAAAACTGGACAGTTGTCCACCATTCAGTTTAATTGTGATTCTTGACAGATAAGAGACTAACACAACATTTGATTAGTGATCTGGAACTGACTGCAGTTTTGTGGAGAGCTTACAGAATTAAACTGACACCGCAGATCCTTGTCTTCTCATGATAAAAGTAATGTTACAAATCATTTTTTAAATTCCATTAAGTGAATGTGTTGTGGGCTCCCTCTCTTTAAATAATGGCAATAAGAGGTAATTTATGGAAGGGATTTGTGGAAATTGCATGAACAGAGACTAGAGAGAATAAGTTAGTTTATTAAATGCATTTATTCAGTGGTTCATTGAATGTGATCTAACTGCATACATACACTTGTTGAAGATACAGAGCTGTCAGCGCTAAATAATGAAAAGAAAAATCACTTTGAATTCTTTTGTTTTGTTAGGTGAAGAAAATATAGTTGATTTCTATTTAAAAGACAACGTCAGACGTAAATAACAAGCATAAATGCAACTTGTGAATAAAAAGGATTAATATTGTGCTGATAATATTTGGAGTAAACATAAGAAACATTGTCAAAATCAAAACATGACAATGATATCTTGAGAATAGCTCTCACAATATTATTTGTAGAATCTCTGCATATAATCTCTATATTGTTAAATCACAGAGTGTCATTTTTGAGCCCTGTCCTGTCCATGATGGACTAGCTCTCAACCCAGGATAGAGAGGCCGAGTGAATGTGGTGTGGACTCTGTGAATGAGGGTCATTGTGTCAGAGACGCTGTAGAAGGACAGAGTTCCTGCACTGTGATCCACATACACTCCTATTTTAGAGGAGCTGGAGACTGGAGGGAGTTTAGCCTGTTTGTTATTATGCCAGAATGAGCAACTGGATTCAGAGCAGGACAAATTCCAGGACTGATCATTATATCCAAACGCACATTCATCTCCCCGTCCCTTCCTGCTGATGCTCTGATATGACACTGATATTTCCACCTCACCACTCCACTCAACCTCCCAGTAACAGCGTCCACACACACTCTCTCGACTCAACACCTGAGGATGACCATCAAATCTGTCTGGATGATCAGGATACCGCTGGACTTTGTCAGTGTATTTAATCACTCTGTTCCCTTCAGACAGTACCAGGTTTTTATTAACTGTGTTTGGATCCAAAGTGTGTCGACGGGAATCTGATGAAGATAAAACACATGATCTGCATTTATCAAGTAATACATGACTTTCAGTCTTAAAAATAAAACACCCGAGGTTTATTATACTTAGGTTTTTTAATACATGGCAAGTTACAGTCATGTTATATACTTTAGGAAAAAAGATTTATTACATGCCTCACTGTTAACATTATTCTATTGGTGTGTCTGTTGACCATCAGAAATTGGCCATCAGAAATTAGAGTTAGTTAAAAATTTAGAATTGAAAAGTCAAATCACATTTTCTATTTATTTTTTGTCCTGTTTAAATGTTTTAAAATCTCTTTTCAACAGCTGTACAAACCCAACAGCCTCTGTACAGTTGAGCTGATGGTCCATTTTAATGTTTATCTGCCAAAACAGAACCTAGCAGTGAGTGATGAACACAAGTGACCAGACCAGGGGCCTCATTTATAAAACGGGTGCGCACAGATTTGAATGTAGAGTGTCATGCCACGTCAGGGTCTAAGGAGTCTGAGAACTGCAGTTATTTGGAAATCTAAGCAATTCTTGTCACTCGCCATTTTCAAGTAAAGTATTTGGACGTTGACTAGTGATCTTTATGTTTCACAAGTTAAAATAGTCCATGTGACAGTGGTTCAACCTTAATTTTATGAAGCGACGAGAATACTTTTTGTGCAAAACCCCCCCAAAATAACGACTTAATTCAACATTTTCTTCTCTTCCGAGTCTCTGACGCTGTTCACGTGAGCACCCCGATGCATGTGTATGTTGCTGACGCAGGAGCCGGTGAAATCTGAAAGATTCATCAAAAATATCTTAATTTGTGTTCCGAAGATGAACGAAGGTCTTACAGGTTTGGAACGACATTGGTTGAGTAAATAATGACAGAATATTCATTTTTGGGTGTACTAACCCCTTAACATATAAAGGAGTAATTGAGAGTGAGGAGTTGCTGGGAGAGAGGGAGGGATCCTGGAAAAACTGTTGTGGCTGAACGTGTTCCCCCCGAACTTTGTCAATAAAACATCATTAATTACATTAAGGAGGGCGCGTTTGCAAGGCGGAGATCTGAAACCATTCGACTGCACACAATTTCAAGACCATTTGCAATTTATAAATTCCACATCTCGTTCTCTGATTGAAGCACACATGTACATTTGAGAAATGATCGTATAAGATCAAATGTAGGATGGTTTCCACACAACATTTTATACATGTGGCCCCAGGACTTTTTAAGTTAACTAACCCAGTAAGATAAACTAACTATCATATGATTATTCCTGATTTGGTGTAGTTGATTGTACTTTGAATATTAACAAAGTAAATGTGTCACATGAATGTCAAGAGTTGTATGCAGTTCAGTTTTATTGTTGATATAATAAGTACTAAAGTTTGTCTCTTTATGTACATGTATGATCATAGAGACTTACATTGCAGGAACTCATCATGGGTCTTGGGTTCAGGGGTGGGAATGATGTTAATGTTTCTCACTAGGAAAACAATATAAAATAAGTTTAATTATCAAACATTTTAGAATATTTTAAATATGCATTGTTTTTTTTTTGTTTTGTTTTTTACATGACATCATATACATGTTAGGAAAAGCTTACCTCTACCAGATATAATTTTTATCTCTTCTCTGGAGAAATGCTCCAGTTTCTCTCTCAGATGAGACACAGATTTACCAACATCATCAAAAGAGAGACGAGAACAGAAAATTAAGCTGGGTGAGTCTGTAGATCCAGGAGGGACTGAGAGAGACTGGAAAATCTACACAGACACAAAGACACAATAGAAACACCATCTAAAGACAAAGAAACATTTGATAGAAAAAACAATCTCTTCCCTTCCTAAAGACACTGTCCTGTTTGTCAGATCTCTGTTACCTGGATGAAATGGATGTGATGGTTTGTGTGTGAAAGCTGCTCCAGCTCAGCGTCTCTCCTCCTCAGATCCTTGATCTCCTGCTCCAATCTCTTCAAGTGTCCTTCAGCTCGGCTCACTGAAGTCTTTTCCTGGTCTCTGATCAGCTGTGTCACCTCAGAGCGGCTTCTTTCAATGGAGCGGATCAGCTCAGTAAAGATGCTCTCACTCTCCTCCACTGCTGCCTGTGCAGAGCGCTGTTAGGACACACACAGAGACCCATTAGAAGCAGTCCATTCACTCAGCTCTTACTGGTCCCTCACACAGCCTGTTCCCCACAGTGGGCTTCAGTGGGACTGAAAGAGCTCCAGCACTGGCTCCTCACAGACTGACTGGAGGAGAGTCCTAACTGAGTGTGAAACAGCTCTTCCAGCAGTTCTTCTGCTCTAAACTCACCTTGTGAGACTCTACAGCCTTTCTCAACTTCTGAAGATCCTTCAGTTTCTTCTGGATTCCCTGCTGGTCTTTTCTTTGCATCTTACCCAATTGTCTCTGTAGGAATAACAAATAAAAAGGAATCTGATAAGTCATACAGCATAAAAAGTAATTACCTCAAGTCAAAAATTATATCCTTGGGAGATCCGAGGAAGTGACTGCTTGGAAAATGATCTTGGATTATGTAGATATGGGATTAAAGATTTTTATAGGCGGCACAACTACTGTGATCATACCTGTTTCTCAGTCCTCTCTGCTGCAGCTGATACAGTGTCATGGTGTTTGTGTTCATCCATTGTACACAGATAACATATACAGGTCTGATCAGTATGACAGTAAATCTCCAGCAGTTTCTCATGTTGAGGGCAGATCATCTCCTGAAGTCGTCCAGTGGCGTCCATTAGATTGTGGTTTTTACTTTTGAAGAAAATCTCATGTTGTTTAAGATGATTTTTACAGTAAGAGTTCAGACACACCAGACAGGACTTGATGGCTTTGTTTTTGTCTCCAGTACAGATGTCACACTCCACATCTCCAGGTTCAGCGTAACATTGAGCAGGACGAGCTTGTATTTTTGCCTTCTTGAGTTTCTTCACCACTTCAGCCAGCATGGTGTTTTTACCTAAAACAGGTCTTGTAGTGAAGGTCTGTCTGCACTGAGGGCAGCTGTAGACTCCCTTCTGATCATCCTGATCCCAGCAGCCTGTGATACAGTTCATACAGTAACTGTGTCCACAGGGAATGGTCACTGGATTCTTCAGTAGATCCAGACAGATTGAACAGCTGAACTGATCCTGAGCCAAAGAAACACTGGATTCTGCCATTTTATTGCACAGATAGAGAGACATCTACAATGGTTCGACAGCAGCTTGAGCTTAGGTTTCGATTTCTCTGAACTGAAACATTTCCTGGTTTTAAAACGTGTGCAAATGTGCCAGTCATGTAATAAACACGACCAATAGAAGGCAGTCTTATACAGAAACTAATTACAACAGTTAACATAGATAGATAGATAGATAGATAGATAGATAGATAGATAGATAGATAGATAGATAGATAGATAGATAGATAGATAGATAGATAGATAGATAGATAGATAGATAGATAGATAGATAGATACATAGATACATAGATACATAGATACATAGATTGAAAGAATGATAGAATGATAGATAAATAGTGTGTAACGGTTCTTCTCTATAAAAAAAAAATGTAACCAAACTATTCTCCACCCATGGTTCGGTACGCACTTGCACCGCAGTTCATCTCAAATCTGACGGCATGCGCATCTATACTATGGTTTGTTGAAAATAACAATGCGTAATACAGACAGACAGAGTTAGACTAATGTATGTTTCATGTTGATGGATACGCATTCTGGCTTCCCCTAACTGTGTTCAAAAGGAGTGCCCTATGCTCTAATATGACCTGTCATTTACACCGTCATCACCCGGGTGTTGATAGCGCAAGATGAGACCTGAACAGCACACGTTGCTATCTGTGTTTAAACTGAACTCATTTAAACCGTGCCAATTTAAACATTAAAGCCAAGAAGACGCTAATGAGAACTCGGGCACACTGCAAGAAGATTTGTGTGTGCACTCACCCGAAACGCGCACACAGAAATCCGCATCTCAGACAGCGCACAAATATTGAGTTCTCTTTCAAGTCTTGCGCTTGAACGGACAAATTAACACAAAAGAATATGTCAATATGACCCTTCTTAGCAAGTATAGTTGTCGAGAGAGACAACGCATGTGTGCAGTATCAGTGTGCTGGATCAGTGCATTATGTCTTAAAGTGACAGTAGCCTTATATTCCTGCTGTTTATGTTCTTAATAGTGCTATCAATCGATTAAAAAAAATAACTAATCAAATTTTTTCCTGTGATTAATCGCAATTAAAAACACTTAAATTTTTATAGGTTTATATTTAGTTTAGGGCAGGCTACATATTTTAAACTGTAATCTTTTTTTTTTTTTTACATTTATTAGGCTTCAACTATAACAACTTTAAATTTAAGTGAACTTCAAACAATCCTCACATAAACATATAAATGTCCTATTTACCTTCGCCCTTCCTACCTGTCTAACATATAGGCTACAATACAATATACAGAATTTGAAAAAAGTTATCAAACAGTCTGCTGCACAAAACGTTCTTTAGTTCTACAAAAGTTATTTAGTCAGTAATTTTCTTTGTTCCCTTTGTTCTCTGATTAACTTTACTGACAGACAGCATTATTGGCAGCTGTCTCTTTAAAACCAGCCGCTGCTGCACGACACATCTCGCATGTGCCTCATTCTCTCACAACTCTTTTAACTTAAGAGTTCATTTAAGACTTTATTTAACTCATTTAAGACTTCTCTTATGAGGATTATCGATGAAACTGACATTTTGGCATAATTGTGTGTGTTCTTTAATCGCAAAAGAGAACTGTTTTCTGGCGCCCGTCTTTCTGTGTGTGTAACGGATGTAATAAAAGATGTTACCAGATAATTCATGGAAAACGCCATCCCCCCACTTTATTTTTTTAATAAGAACACTAACAGTTAAGAATCAGTTCGCCGCCACACCAGGGGAGGGCGCTTGAGCGCTCCTGTGAAGTATACTATTGAGACTAGATTTGTCCCGGGTGCGATCTCAGAAGTAAAGCTGACGCGCCAAGGGAAAGACGCTTATCCTGTCTGTCTCTTTACTATTTCACAGTGTTTCACAGGTGCACAGTGCTTCACTGCCTGTGTACCCTTGCTGCCAGCCCAGATTTCCCCTAGGTCTGAGGCCGGTAACAATTGGGGGCTCGTCCGGGATTGACTGCACATCTCGTCCAGGGACGGTTGTCATAGCAACGGTGGAATCCTGCGCCCAGTGTTTCAGGGAAGACTACTTCGCTAAGTGTCATCCAGAGAACAACTGTCACAGGTGATTCAGCAACATGACTACTTTCAGCCCACGGCGAGTGCTGCTCGTCAAGATCCAGAAGAAACTTGCAGGTTTGAGTTTGAGGCAGTTACAGACTGTAGCCATTTCGATAGATGACGGCCGTGAAGCTGACTACGGGGTAGATTTAAATGAACTTGAACTTTATGACCTAATTGTCGACTACATCAGAAGTGAAGAGTTAAAAGCTGCAGAAGATGAGGGCATGACTCAACTTCTCCTCCTGTTTGACCTGCTCAACGACGTTCTATCAGTGCCAGGCACCAGAGCAGCTGAACCTGGTAACGTGGCAACTGTCACGACGGGAGATTCGACAACACAGGACCGGGGTTACACTCCATCTGATAACCGGGGAGAAGCTGGTACAACACCATTCCCTATAGACAGCGATACTAACACACAACCATTTCACATGGACAGGGACACTAACACACAATCGTTTCACATGGACAGAGACACTAACACACAATCGTTACACATGGACAGAGAGCCTCGTGTGCATGTATCATTTCAGGACAGAGACACCGTCGATACACTTACCAGAGAAGTCACCTCATCAATGCCCTGTATGCCCGACCACTGTGGTGTTGCTCCGTTGGGTAGGATGAACTCATTTAACACTTCTGACCATGTTGTAAGATTGTCTGATGTTTCAGCTCTGTTACCACGAAGAGAATTTAAGTTACATGGTGGTCAAATTTGTGATACAGGTTGTGACATGTCTTTCAATTGTCTCTGTAAACAAATAGATGAAGGGTTGCAGGAGGGTTTCAGTGGGTCTGAAATTATCAGAGCGGTCCTTAAAATAACCAAACCTGGTACATTCAGAGAGATGTTAGTTAATAAGGATGATCTCACTGTTAATGAGTTGAAAAGATTTCTGCGTTCTCACATTAGAGACAAAAGTGTGAGTGAACTTTTTCAAGAGTTAACTAATGCTAAACAAAGTGATAAAGAAAGCCCACAACAGTTTCTTTACAGAATAATAGGTCTGAAACAGCATGTACTTTTTGAGTCACAACATCCTGGTGTAGGGTTTAGCTATCACAAAGAGCTTGTTCAGGGCACCTTCATACACACACTTTATCAGGGGCTAAGTGAGAAAAACAGCCATGTCAGACATGATCTTAAACCGTTACTGTCAGACATGCAGGTTAGTGACGACTTGCTCTTGGAACAAATCACGAAATCAACAGCTGAAGAAGAAGGGCGACTGAAAAGACTGGGTTCCGTAGGTAAAACCAGATCAGTTACCGTAAGCGCAGCTCAGCATTCCCACAGTGAATTGAACACTCCAACAAGAGTTGACACTGAGTTGCAAGCAAACCGTGATGCTATCAAAGAACTAACTGCTCAAGTTTCCTCTCTAACCAAGCATCTAGCTCAGATGTCCACCCCCGCTGAGACTGTGAAGCTGCAAGACTGTCGTTCACCTACTGTTCGCGCTCAACCACCATTATCTGAGACCCGAGGTAAATGTAATGACTGTTTACAGAAAAACCAAACGAACTGTGTTCACTGCTTTGTTTGCGGCCAGGCAGGACATCGCGCCATTGGCTGTCTCCAACGGAAGTTGTCGGGAAACGGGAAGAGGTCGCTGGAGAGGGGCAGTCAGCGATCCTAAGCAGTGAGGAGCCCCGAGAAAAGGTCAACATACCAAAACGCTCACAGTCAAACTCACAATACCAGTCAGATCAAAAGAAAAGAGTAGCTCAACTCATTGGTAAGCGATGCATGGTCTCATGTTCCATTAATGGGGTACCTCTTCAGATGCTGCTGGATTCAGGGGCACAAGTGACCATGGTGAGCAAATCGTGGATTGAACAAGCACTACCCTCTCTGAAAATACAGCCGCTTGGATTGTTGTTCGTTAATCACTCTCTTGAAATTTCTGCTGCCAACAATACTCAGGTTCCGCTTGATGGATGGGCAGGGATAGATCTTCAAATATGTAGCCAGCAACATGGGCGTGTGACAATCCGAGTACCACTACTTATCAGTCGCGACTGCAACTAGCCTCTCTTAGGTAGTAATGTCATTTCGGAAATGATCAAAGCAAATCTCGATCAGCATGATAACGTTGACGTAACTAAAATACTAAAAGAAGCTTTGAGTGTCAGTGATAGCGCCGTGGAAGCATAAGTCTCTACACTTCAGACTATTAGACCCGCAGAAATTCCAGAGTCTATTGTACGCCTCGGCAAGAAAGGTATAAATATTCCCGCAGGCAAGATTCGTGAAGTGCAGTGTAGAGTTCGAGGATGGCACCGTGGAGGTACGATGATGTTTCAGCCTTGCCCTGAGAATCATTGCCTGGAGGGTCTGGAAGTGTTCCCAGCTTTAGTTGATGTCCCTGTTGGATCATCTAAGCGCATCAAAGTCCCGATTCAGAACTCGACAAAACATGCCATCTATCTGGCAAAGAAAACCGTTCTTGGTACTCTTGAAGATATACTTGATTTAACACCAATCAAACCTTCATCCATAAACTGTGAGCCCACTCCTCAGAAAACAGCACACTTGTGTTCAGCTCAATTGTGTTCTTGTGAGCAGACTTTGAGAACAAGTAGGGAAACGCATAAAACTACCCACCAGACCAAAGACAAATGGCATCCTCCTGTCGCTCTGTCTCATCTAGCTGAGGAAGAGCAGGAGATTGCGAAGAGTGTATTATATGACCAGTCTGATGTATTTGCTGAAGATGAAACCGATATTGGTTGCATTTCTGACTTACAACTCAAAATCTACTTAAAAGATGACACCCCAGTTCAAAAGTCCTACAACGCAGTTCCAAAGCCCTTGTATAGAGAGGTTAAGGAATACGTTCAAAAGCTGCTAGACCATGGATGGATTAGGAAGTCCGTATCACCTTATTCCTCCCCTGTGGTCTGCGTAAGGAAAAAGGATATGAGCTTACGTCTTTGTGTGGACTTTCGTGGACTAAACAGCAAAACCATTACCGACCGTCATC